CTCCAAACGACACCGAGAAATTCAATGAACAATTACTGGACAGTCTGATGAGGGATGGCAGAGTGGCGCTGGCTTCCACACGCCTACGCGGTGTTTACTATCTTCTCGTGTGTATCCTCTGCTTCCGTACACACTTGAAAGAGGTTGACTTGCTTCTGGAAATGGTTGACAAGAACGTTGAGATATATCTGAAATCAGTTTCTAAAAAACCCCGGGAATCACAACAATTATCATAGTTGAGTTATAAATATAAATGACGACATCATTGTTGTTTATGGGAAATATAGGCTTAACAAGTATGTGTTTTTTCATCGACAGTATTCAGCGAATTACTGACTACTGTTCAATTGTATGTATATCTTCTGATTTGAAATGTATATTTATGATAAATTATATTATTACGCGATCTTGTTATTACGTTCTCGATATTATGTGTATTATTAAATGTAAATATATCATAAGAAATATAAGTGTAATATTTCATTGTTTACATTATTACTATTCATAGTTCAACACAGGTAATCTATTTCATACCGACCGTATGTATCACTTTCCGTGATAAAGATTTGATTCCATTCCCGATTTTATTTGCGATAATTTCACGAATATTCACTATAGCCAATGACGTTTTATTACTATAATAATATCCATAATAATTCAATTGTTTGGTCAAAAAAAGAAAATTCTAAGTTTTGGTACCAAATAGACATATTTTTGACAACTCGATCTCGGGATCGATGAGACTACAATTCGGTAAATCTACTTTGTTTGTAACTGATGGGTCTAGTCAGAATTCCGTGTGTATGTGCCCGGATACCGGTCCTGATATTTATAACGTAAATGCACCTATATATACACATAGCACCTCCCACGCTTTCCATCGATGTGTTGCTTCTTTGCTGATTCATCTCTTTATTGCGCAAAACACGTAGATTATTTTGATTCATCCTTTCTCGTATTTTCCCAATCTACCCTTTTATTGAAACTTGGTCATAAATAACATTATAAAAACATCCTTTTTGTAGTGTGTACACTCTTTAAGCAGCATTGGTGTTGTGTGCAGAATCAGAATACAGAATCATTCCTTTTTTCGCAATGCCTCAGAAGATACATAATATATTGTCATATATTCCCCCAGGATGCATTGCACGAAATAAACTGTATATCCGAAACATAATCCAAATACTAAGGTGTACCTTTGCAACTCCAATCATAATCCTTTGTGGGTGAAAACAACTTGAATATTATATTATATTAATGCGTAATTCCGATGCGAGAGGGGGGGGGTCTATTTTTAATTGTTCTTTGGTACTTTAATATATTCTTGAGATACAAGAAACACACTTCCTGTTCATATATACACTAATATTGCAAGTACCAGATTAATTTCTCTAAATAGACATATTTATAATTCCCAGTTAATCGGCAAATATTCGTATTTAATCCGGCAACTTGAATTGTTAAAATTGTGATAAAAGTTTAACATTGTGTAAAATTATACATTTTAATGTGTTCATCAAAACAAGGGCGTGGTCACACATGGCAACTCGTTATTAGAAACAAATATTTGGGTTAAAAAACATTTTGGATATATGTTTTGGGTATGTTGTTCATGTATTGTAACTGGAGCTAAATATATTGATTTTATTAATATTCATTTGTTATCCTAAACATATGCTAGTTCGAGTTGGTCTTGGTCTTACTTTGTAAAATTTGTTACAATTATAATAATACATGGGCATTTGAACGATTATGTATCTTTCCGCAAATTCGATAAGCTCTTGGGACCTTTGCCCCGGCTGTCAGTTGCTATAGTATTATTATATCTTATCTCCAATATATATTACCATTGTCTATGCGTACGCTGTGATCGGAGCCAGGAAAAACGCATTCGTTACGCCGTGACACTTGTTTACGATACGCCATGACACTTGTTTTCGCGTTAGTTTTTTGCGTGGTGTTTTCCAAATTTAATCAAGGGGGCGATCATCACTAGTCTTCCGTGATATTAGTATAATCAATATTAAACCATGATAATAAATACATTTCAACGGAAGCGTTGATGTTAAATTGTACAATCAAAATCCCATTATTTTCGTATTCTTTACTGCAAAGTGTGTCGGAACTGATCAAAAAGACATGAACTGCGACATGTGTGCATAAAAAGTGCTAAACACAACGCTGTCTGATAATAGCGGCGAGTCCGGCTCATACGGGCAAGTTCAACACCAAGTTGTCGAAACTTAAATTGTGTCAATTGGTTTCTTAGCAAAACAATTGTGTACTTGACATTTATTTATTTCAGGACTTTTTTTTTTAATTTTAGTTTCTGGAATAAAATATGGCTTTTCCTCAAATTATCATTATTTCATTAAATTTGTTGGGGATCTACAATATCTATTGGTAACAAATATTATTATTCTCAACAGTATTTGCAGAAAATACCATAATATTTATAATAGTGTAATTTTGTCTGTGGTAAGTACATTATATTATCTTTCCCCAATTCTGTACATTACAACACAACCGTAGTATGCGTTCAAATATTCTATATCAGAGTAATTATCCTCACAAATGAGGAGCAGGTGATATTTATATTGCTGGATTATACAACATACTACGAGAATATGGGGGAATACATAGGAATGCTGAGATACGTGAATGGACATCGCATTTGAATATTGGCCATGGCAGCTGCGATTTTCGAATCTATATCATTATATTAAACATTTTACACCATTCTGGTGTTATTGACACCTACAGAAATAGTTGTAAAATGAATCTAATTCTCTGCTAAGCGCATGTTTGATTGACTGTGTTTGTACTCCTTTTTTGAACGTTTGTTTGTCATCTTGTTATTGTTAAATGGTCCATTTACTGTCACCCTTGAAGTCTGCTCTGTATCTCTGTAAATCTCTGAGGTGCGAAATGGAACATGATCTTATTAGAGGATAATTATGCCAGAAATCATTGCGTTCGACATCAGTGAAATCAAAAGACGATGACGTCATTCATAACAGATACATACTAATGTTTCTCATTAAGTAATTTGTGACCGGTCATGTCCTTCTATTGTTATAGTGTGGAAAAGGTCTCTCGTAGCAATTCTGATTGAACTTGTATGCATAAACTAATAATAGGCGGTGGTACCCTCATTATTTCACGGCGAATACCACCGTACACAATATCAATTAATGATATATGCAAACAGGCTAGGGGGTCATGTTGGGTTAGAGACGCGTGTGGTATATAAAGCCCATGTTTATTTGCGGTTTAATTTATTGACGTGTTATCTCCCTGCGGTTGGTGCAGGCGACGTGATTCCCGGGTAAGAGTGAGTGTATGCCAATTAATCACTAACATTTTTGAATTTTAGTCATTCGCGATACTACATGTACAGTGCCATACAACCAGCATATAGTATTTGTTGCATAGTAAAATTTAACTTTTTTTCAGTTTGATACAATTCTTGTGAACTAAACTTATATAAGGAATTTAACCTATAGCTGTTCATTTAACCGAATCATACTTTGATTACCGTTTATCATTTAAAGACTTTAGTATGAAGAGAAACAAACTATCATGTGTGTGCTTTTGAATTTACAGTATGGCATATATCATCATGAAACTGATGGGAAGGGTTGTTCGTCTTAATAACTGTGCTTCCCACACAGTAAAATAATATTTACCGCCATGCTTCAATTCCATCTGATTAGTAAGAATGTCGCCAAGTATCCGACAACTGTCTCTTTAAGCACGGTACTTCTATCAGTATACATTCATGTCAAATAACTTCATTTACTATTTTCTAACTCAGCATGTTATCCACAGATCGACAACTGTCAGCGTCAAATGAATATTACCTGTCAATAATTCGTCATTTGCTTCTAACTCGAACTCTACTACTCCTTTATTTTATTGTTATAAATACATGTACCGTTAAAATGGAAATTTACTACAAGCAAACAACACTCCGCGTTGAAATATCAAATTGTCATGTGACCTATTCCCTAATAATGACAAGCAGCTAATTCGAAGTTTATATGTCGTTTCAGAAGAAGTCATCTTCAAGTTGACAAAAGGCACGTTTTAGTTCGTGAATGAGAACCATTACAATTACACAAATACTATGCTATCTAAAATTAGAAGTCTCGAAACGTCCTGCAGAGCCCTGGACCCTGGCTTTGAACAGAGACAGAAATGGGTGCACCAGGTAGTGGATCATACTGAACAGTTTATCACAGGATTGGAGGATAACCATTCACAGGCATATCGTACAAATAACAAAGAAGGAAAGGGTATACTGACTGGAGAGTATATGTATAAAACTGCAAATATGAACTTTACTATCATACGTTTTGCAAAACCTTTTCTTATTTGACAATATATAAGTACTATCAAATAGTATGATGCGTACCATGTGAGTCTGAGCTACAAAGTTGAACATCGCAGCTCACTTACTATTGAAGCGCGGTGGTCGTCGCGCAGCACGTGTTCAAACTTCATGTAAACAAGCAATGTATTTTACACGCGTTGTATACGTCGCTATGAGTCCCATATCGAACAGGACGCAGCACGACGACTACCACCCTTTAATAATAGATTCGGATGGAGATACAAACTGCTTTTGTTTTAAGTATTTATAGTTATTCATATACATGTTATTCTAATGTACGATTTGTTGGAAATTCTCAACACGTTTGATGAATCTCATTTCAGAATACATGATTTGAAGCATGAAACTAGGTCTACCACTTAAACAAGTTGCAGTAAATCATCGTCTGATTCTCTGAAATGTCTAGTTAAAAGCGGGAGGGTCGTTACTTGCGCACGCGCGGGAATTGAGTCACAGGCGATGATAACATCACACGCTAAGAACGCAAAGGCTTATGGGTAGACGCTTGTTTGTAAACAATGACACGCGATGGCCACCTGACGCATGCGTAGGTGACGACTCCCCCGCTTTAAATTGGAACGAAGTTTCGAGATTTCGAATCCAGTGGACATACACTCGCAGGAAACACGCCCATACAATATGTATCGCTGTGTAAGATTTTAAATGTCTAATGTCTTTGGTTACAGAGGATCTACTACAGCTATTTGAGGAGAACGTTGAACGATGTGGGCTGGTAGAATCGCATGGTGGACATATGGCATACGTTAATAGTGGCGGCGTATTTCCCTCGGCGCTGGGCGACTACCTTGCTGATGTCGTTAACCCATATTCTGGTAAGTAAACTGGTAATTATACACATTATAAATATACCCATGCTAACGAAAGAAAGATTTTTTTAATTGATATTTAAATTTTAGTGACAACTAATTCATTCGGCTATTCAATCCCACATGCAGTTATGTAATCGTATTTGAATATAATAGTAATTAAACAGTAGAACTATCTGTCGTGTAGACATAAACATGTTTATACCTTCAACATACTTATCAGTGTAACAATAAAAATATCAGGTACATTATTCATCAATAGTTTATCCTAGTATTTATGAAATGTTAACATATTCTAGATTATCAATCATATCATAATTATTAGAAATAAATATAACTTTATATAACATTGTTTAGTTAAAACGGAGAAGACAACTAGAGATTGTTCAATTTCTCATCGATTATTTCCAGTGATACCATTCAGATTTGCACAATCTCTAATTTTGACGGAGAACCCAATTTAAAAATGATTCGTTTATTCATTAACAGCGGTCTTTCACGCCAGTCCCGGCAGTGTGTGTCTAGAGAATATGGTCATCAACTGGATTGGACGAACATTTGGCTTCCCAGAAGGCTTCGTGGGTAACCTCACTTCCGGTGGTTCCGCGTCAACTATTCTTGCCTTGGCAACTGCAAGAGACAGTAAAAACGTGAAAGCCGCTGATTTCAGCAGGTATGTAATCAAAGCGTCCTCTGTGTACGTGGGTGGAATTTACTTTGTTTTTTATTTAGTTACGAATGGTTCCCCGTTTGCTGATGTTGAGATCATGATGTATTTTGCTTTTAATTACGTTATCATAGTCTCTGTTAATAATTGGCAGGTGCGTTGTTTACATGACTCAGATATCTCACTATTGTGTGGAGAAAACCTTAAACACAATCGGAATGCGAGAGGCAGTACGTCGCACTGTGCCAACCGATAAAAGTACATACAAAATGAATGCAGAAGAACTCAAAATAATGATAGAAAAAGATGTAAACGTAAGTCTACCCACGTCGTAAGGGGCAACATAGTTTTCAAAAATTTTAGGTGATTATATAATTCATCGATCTTCGTTAATTCTGACAATAATAATGTCGACACGACTGGAGTTGTGCCCTCTGCCATTATATACATATCCAAGTCCTGACACCAGAGGGCGCAAGAGAGAACAAATCAACAGAGACTGCAATGACTGCAATCCTGTTTGCATGTTTCGAGTAAAAACTCGGCTCTGCCTCTACATGTCAATTGTTTTCATGTTAATGTTGATACTTATTCATTTTTATGCACGCTCATATGAAACAACAACATGGTGAAATAAAGGACAAAATCAACTCACACTACTGTCTTTTTTAGATGTAATAGAATGTTTTATTCTAATAAAGGGGAGATATGACGTATTCTCTCGTGGGAGCTTAAAGTCGTGCACTAAACAGAACATGTTGATAAAACTAAAAAAAAAATATTCGCAACACGTTGTTTACACTTTTGGCAACCCAAGTAAAAGTTAAGTGTTGTTGCTTGTGCTAAATATCACATAATAGTAGTGAATTTCACGTTTATTCATGTCGCAACTGAAATGGCAATGAGCAAAACTGAATTGGTCAACCATATGACATTATTTCCTAATTTTTGTTTCAGAATGGCCTTATACCTTTTCTGGTGTATGCCACTGCTGGTACAACGGATCTGGGCTCCATCGATCCATTGAATGAAATTGCGTCCATAGCAAGACAACACAGCTTATGGATGCATGTCGATGCTTGTTACGGTGGATTTTTTATTATGTCCAACGAGGCTAAACCAAGGTTCCGGGGTATTGAAAGATGCGATTCGCTGGCAGTTGTTCCACATAAAAATACGTTTGAATTACAATTCAGTCTATTCTTCAAATTTTAGTTATCGACATGGTGGGCAAATACTATGGAAAATTATGTTGACATGTAGATGCTCCATTGCTATTTTGAGTTTCATGCTGATAGGGATATTGATAATGATAATAACCGTTCGCCATTATGATGTAATTTATCGAAGATTCATCTGCATTGCGTGGTTCGGGATGGTATCCACGCAACAACATCGTCTCAGAGATAAATTGTCCTCATGTTTTTTTTTGATGCGCATGACTCAATTTTACACATAGGTTTATTCATTCCGTATGGATGTGGTTGCGTCATAGTGAGGCAGGGTAGCAAGTTGAAATATAGCAACGCTTTGAACCGTCCAGCTTTCTACCTCGAAGATTCCTTTAAAGATGAACGTGAGGATGAACCATCGCCATGTCATCTATCATTCGAACTCAGTCGCCATTTCAGGTAATATAAGCATTTCAATGTCACCTACGGTTATAACATACATTTTGCAACGTAAGACACGACGTTGTGTCAACTTCATATACTAGTAGTTACAAGTACGCCCTCCAACGCTCACTGGTTATCATTGCATACGGCAAGTGCGCCCATTACCGTGACTGTTTCTCGTATTCTCGAGGTGTGCGCCCTCTAGTGTTCACATCTTTGTATTCAACTGACAAACACTATTTTTCATCATTTTACAGGAGTGCGGGTGTGGATGCCATTGAAGCTATTTGGACTCGCACCATTCAGAGATGCATTGACGGAAAAAATATTGTTAGCACGTTACTTCCATGAACAACTAGCAGGTAATGACAATATATGAGTGTATTTGTAGGGATTGTTACTTTCAAAGTAACGTAAAAGTTGACTGTCTGTAGTTAACGGTTATTTTTAGGGAGGGTTGTTCTTCAAAAAAAAACTAAGCAGTTAGATTTATTTATTTATTTATTTCATTTACAGAACGAGGCGATTTCTAGTTAGGACCATATCCCGAATTATCTGTAGTTGTATTCCGTTATGCCAAAGCTTCAAACGACACCGAGAAATTCAATAAACAAATACTGGACAATCTGATGCGGAACGGCAGAGTGGCGCTGGCTTCCACACGTCTACGCGATGTTTACTATCTTCGTGTGTGTATCCTCTGCTTCCGTACACACTTGAAAGAGGTTGACTTGCTTTTGAAAATGGTTGACAAGAACGTTAAGATATTACTGTAATCAATTTCAAAAAAATCACAGCAACTATATTCAAGAAGTTGAATAACCTTGAAATTGATAAAGTTATACTAAGTGACGTCATCTTTGGTATCGAATCGAAACCAAATTACGTAACGTATCGCATTCAGTGTAATATATCGTGTTGTATATAGCGTACCGTAATATAACGTAACGTAAAATAACGTAACGTATATATCGTATCGTCACGTTCATCGAAAGGAATTCTGGGACGAATGAATGGACTGTAAATAAAAATGTACAATAATGACAAACGGCTCTAGCATGTAATACGTTGTTTATTACTCCTGTTGTTATTCTATTTCATGTTTGATGCAGTCCTGTGCTCTCTATTACGTGTTCCCACTTTCACACAGATTAGATACATCGTTTATAATATGAACATCCGGGATACCGATATTTTGTCGACCAGTTAAGCGTGAATTGACCGTCGCAACTTTTAGAGAATGTTGCTCTGTGAGAAACGCTCGTTCAATATGGTGGCGTATTCAAACTAATCAGGTTCAAGTTTAGATAAGCGGTAATATGGATGACTGTTTTGGATAATTCATGTATAATTCATGCATAATCATCTAAGGGGCATGTATTACAAGTATTGCAGCCAGAATATAGGAGTTTGTGCCTTCGCTAATGAGAACATTTGTCCTTCTAACATTGATCTAAGAAATAGCAGTCGTCGCGCGCGTGCATTTCATTAAAACAATAATGTGTTGTGTATAGCGGGGGGAAGCATTTCGAATTCGACGCATTTTTATAATGGAGGTGGCGAACGTTCACCTGATTAGGTCATTGTATCAGGGACAATGTTAGCGAATTCAAAAAGACACATTTTCACTTTTTTAACATAAACTAATATATTGAAGGGCAGATGATGGATATTCGGTCTGAGGGGGCGCAAAGGCGCCATTGCCGCGCTGCACTGTGGGATATATGTGTACTATGATTGGCCATTAGTTTAGAGGGGACATGTGCCCCCTGCGCCCCTCTAAATTCGCGACTGATAATTGCCTATATTATAATGGTTACCTGAACAATAATCAGAATAACCTCGCGAGCACCCGCCAAACAATGTGACCCACAAATAAAAGATGAGGCCATAAAAGCACCTAGATGATTTACAATATTCTTATAAATTAAATATCTACTAGGTGTGAATGTTCAGTCGCTATAGAGTGTTAGGAGATTGCTTTGTTCAATAAGAACACTATTTGGATGGTCAAATGGGTAATACTTTAATATAGTCGATAGTATTCTAAAACTGAATGATAGTAGTAGTGGAGGAGCTCCCTCCAACCAACCCACCCCACCCTCCAGACAACGCGGGCTGGATGGAAAAAAACTTACATACGCCGGCCGATGTATGTGACAACAGAAACAAATATTTAATTTCTTGTCAATATTGGTGGTAGACTTGTTAGTCGAATCGGGACTTTGTAAATTGTGGAAGCGACGCGTTTTGTCTAATGTGCATGGTTAATCTTCCAACCGTGCAAAATGATCGAATCTAAATACTGGTACAGAAATAATAGGTAATACCACGACACTCCTTTGATCCATACGTTCGCTTATAGTGGCTGTAATAATCAGGGATGTTAGTGGCAGGTGGAAAAAGCTAATAAATCCAGTGTTAAGATAATAGTAACTACAATACTAGTTCCTCCAATTGCAATTCAATCTATATATTTAAATATTTTAAATTATAATAAAAAAAATAAAAAGCCTTTATGATTGTGTGTCTTGATAGGAATTAATTTTGCAAAACATCGACAAGGGATCGACGTATCCACCACGCCTTATGTTGATATGACCGGGTTGATTTTTTTCCTGAGTTCTAAACTGAGCTGAGATATAAATAGCTGCAGCGAACAGTGGGTGACCGATGAGGCTTTTAGGTGCTATCCATCGTGGACGTGGTGACGGTGATGTAATACTCGTTCTCCCCCTGGGATGCGGAGACAGCTGCAATGAAAATAACACACGTGGCGATGACAGTATTATGTGCGGTTACATTTCATGCCAGATACTACAACTAAGATCAGCGGTTTCCGCTCCGTGCATTCAGGTACTTGTATTTATATTGTTGTTGTTGTTATTTTCATTGCGTTATCATCATCATCACGCGTGATTCATTTGATATAGAGTCGTAACTAAATATGTTATTGTTATTTTATTTAAAGACATTTGCATACCAGATGACAGTGTTGAGCATTGGAAGTCAGTGTTGTTTCTCCTGTTTTGTGCAAATTGAAAGCAGTGACGATACATACATGGTACTATGTTACATTGTCCCATGCATGGTAATAGCATTACGACAATTTAATACGCTATCCAGGATGGGGTTAACAAGGCTCGCTGTCCATATGCGCAAATCCCCAAAGTCGAGCCATTTAGTGAATGGACCTCGGCCATTCAATATGACCACACAAATATAGGACAGGAGCCAGTCTCGGTTACGTTTTGAACTAAGAACCTGCCGATGATGTGCCCGGTGCAACAATCACTTCTGTGCCGATTTTAACCGAAATGTGTTCAGCATAACTCGATCACCACATATTGTTTTGCAACACACACACACACACATGCATGCACCGTCCACCCACTTGTTCAACTGCAATGTATCCTCATAGTGCTACCGTCGGTAGTCATCGAACCATGGACGTACTACCATATCAGTACGTCCATGCACAAACTGAATAAGTAGGTGATTTGTGGTGTTCATTAATTTTGAGGGAGAATACTG